GGATAAATAAAGTATTCAAATTTGGGCGGGGGAGGGTGGAAGACGGAAAACGTGAAAGTGTAAGCAGAGAGGCGTCAGCAGTAGCATATTTTCGCTTACCCGCCTGCTGGATGCAGCAGGTAAGGCGATCCGGCTGATGGCACCAAGCGACGGCCGATGTGGCATGAGAGTATTGTTAGTTGTGTAGGTCATGGTTGTACGAGGGCTGGGATACTGCCAGGGCGCCCACACCTAGACAGGAGGACGATTAGGGTCCTCAACCAAAGCCTTTGGCTCAAAAGCCTAACCGCAAGGCAGCGGTGTTTGGCGGGGAAATGCAAATGCATTACCTTTTCTACGGAACAAGTCGCCATACATGTTCCAACCCTAAACCTGGAGGACCAGGAGACTGTGTTCGTCAGACCTCTAACCATTGACCAACCTGGTATGAGACTCTGCGAGTGTTGCGCGGACACCCCCCAGTATAGCTCAGTGGGTCTCCGAGGTACACCAACCGCCACACCACGGTAAGGTCCAGTCTCTTCGTGACGGGGAATATTTGAGGATACAAAAGCACATGCGGTGTTCGAGAGATGGATTATGGATCTTGATAGACAGGTTCGTCGGGAAAGCAACGGTGCGAGTGGACAAAAAACCACGTAATAAAAAGAGGTTAGTTATATATTCAATCTATCGAAGAACTAAAAAGTAGTGAGACACAAGTTCATGTAGCACTCACCGCTTTTGCAATTTTCGGCAATGCCCAATCAAGGTCCCATAACCACGGATCATTTTGGGGGCTGAAAAAGAGCGTTGGAAATGTGAGTCAAGTATGAGACTTCACAAGTTGACAGCACTGGCTGACCACTTTCTCTACAACAGCCAGTGGGGTGATAAGTCTTAGAAGAAAACAGCGGCCATCCAGCATGGTGTTGTCACGTTCACAATGGAAATCAAACAGCACCTACACTCTTCAGCAAAAGCTGAGTCAGGTCAGGTACGCCGACTGCTCTTTCAAGGACTTACTCTGCATCGGGACTGGAATAATGCTGTAGTGCTTGATCCGCCAATTGCATGAGGAGTTGTTTCTGACGCTGCTCGTTTTCCGCAAATTTCCTGTCCGCGTTCTCCTGGAACTTCGACCACGAATCGTTGATGGGCAAATACATACTTCCCATTTCAAGCATACCATACAGGGTTGCGGGATGGGGAAAGCTGTCAATCGCATGGGAACAAACAAATTACACCTTCGAAGTCGAGGTAAACAGTCAACACAGACATCTATGCCAGCATTTGTAAGAAGAACGCCTGATATGCCCTGACATCGCCCTGACAACAAGGGAACGAGTGAGAATACAATGAGCCAAGACCACTGACAGCATCAGGCTTTTATAAAAGCATTAGAAAGTGGGTAGCAAGCGACTAGAAAGAGCGGTTTGTTAGAGTACAGTTTGAAGTGCGCTACTTTAGGTGCATCCGCTACCACATCAAACGTAGTCCAAGCGCATTCGCGGAACCAGTAGAGGTTAAAATAGCAAAAAAAGGCACTGTGATGACCGACTTGGTGTTATACGCGGAAATCGCATTCGAATAAGTCCAACGACGTTGAGATTATATCTAAAAGAAGCCTTTGTAAGAGGTACTTTTTTGAATGGTGCTTCTGAAGCAAGTATGGGAGAAAGCCCTGCAGGAACTCGCCAAGTGTGATCACTTTTGATACATTTTTCTTTCTAGGAATGACTTAAGCATTCGAAGAAATCACAAGGAGGTCCTTGAAGGGAGAATAATGTAGTCATTGTGAGCCACGCTGATGAAAATAATTTCGCTGGACCCCACGGTTGTCTTCATGCCGTTGTTCAGATAAGTAACTGGTGCAAAGATACATAACAGACCACTGTCTGAATCCCTCTATCTTTGTCGCGATGATATTTTTGTCACGCACACCCTGAAAATGGCCCTTGTTTGAACGTGGGGAAATACCCTCATAAAAAGTATCAATTTCAAGGATAGCCACACAGATAAAGGTGAAGTGGTCCGAACTGGGTGGTGGTGTCTTTTGGGAAGACTAACGTATGTTTATTATTGTGGATATTTGTAAGCAACTGGTAGCTAGTTTTGTTAACCGAAATGCCTAGTTGAGTTATCATGCTCACAATTTTAAGACGAACTTTCATGGAATACCTTGAAAGACTCCATTCACATGAATTTTCGTTTGCTAGAATGGACTCGGGGTCGTAGTTCTCAAATGTTTGTAAACAAACCGCTTATTGCTAACGGACCCATGTTGGTATCCAAACACACCCATTTGTCAACGCGCATTGTTCACGTTCACTGCGATAAATATTAGCTTGTTGACCCGCGCTGGATCTTGAGAGGATCCTTATAGGCGCACAGTGTCCCCGTTTGGTGGAAACTAATGAAAAATAGTTGATTACATTCGTATCGCGTTGGCGATACTTTTTCTCGCTGTCTCCTAATGAATGACATTCCCGTATTCTCGCAGTGGATCGTCCAAAAATCTATGCCGATTTGTAGCTACAGCGTCATTTGACACATGCTATACCCGTATGAAAGATATTTCTGTCTAACGTTGAAAAGATGACTGAATAGTACGACCATCTTCTGTGTGTTCCTTTTGAACTTGAGACCTTTGTTCAGAATTAATGCTATGAACTTCGGTAGAGTAGCGAGAGGTTATCAGCAGTGTGTGGAATATTCAAAGTGTATATTTGTATCCTTTATGGATAATCAAAATCAGCCAATACATGTGATAAGCGAAATACTATTTTAGAATGGAGGGACGATATTCACATAATGGTGAGCGTTTGTGAGGGGACTAGACATCAAATAAAGCTTCTTACGGTGCTGCATATTTTCCAGGATAGCGCCATTTGTTCACTTTGTTCCACTTCACAATATAAAATGTTTTATAACAATATAGGCTTTACTATTCAGACATAAAAGCAAAGGGTGGTGATGCTGCAAAATGTGTGGCAGGGAGTGACAAACTGAAAAGCGTGAGAGCCAATCGCCAGACGAAAAGTCGGAAATTCTTTTGACCACGAACTATATTGTGTGGCTAATCTTCGATGTTTACTGCGCTCCTCCCATTATGCTCGACTTTTCGTTAGTGTTCACATGGTTAATTTTATATATCCAAGGTAGCTACCAGAGTGGATGATATTCTATCTTTTTTGTCATAAATGACAGAGGATTCTAATGGTTCCTATCCACAAAAGTAACCTCTCTTTAGAAGAGTCTACTTTTTGGCACATTACGGTGGTTTTACGAATGGTATGGCTTAAAATCATGTTTGGAAACCTCGAGCACGTCAGAGACCTACTTATTTGCCTACTCATTGCGTTAATGTGATTTGGCATCCTGGTCTTTGGTAGGAGGGAAATCTGCTCCCAGAAACACGTGGAGTGGTCTTCGTTGGGAGTTGACAGTGACCTCTCAAAAGTTATCCTCTTAAATTCAGATTTCAAATGTCAAGAGTGACGTGCTTTTAAGTAAATGAGAGTTGTTTAACACAAAGTTCAGTCACCCGACTTCCTGAACCACACACTGCGGCATAAAGCTAGCGTTGAATTATGTTCTGGGCCTCTGGCATTTGCACGGACGACTTACCGCTCCTTGAACAACGGTAACAATTTCTGAAATACTTCATAGGTCATCGACACATCGGTGGCACAATAACGCATCAATTCCTAAAACAAAAAAAAAACAGAACAACAAGCTAACTCATTCATACATGATTTGGAACACACAAACGAGATGGCCCAGTGGTAAGAGCGCGAATTTACTGACCGAAAGGTCCGTGGTTCGAACCCAAACTCTGCTTCTGAACTTCCCATGTTTAGACTTGGACAACCTCGTGCTTCCTTCTGATGGCAACGCAGTTAGGCACCGGAAGGGTGTTACAGCTGAAGATGAGAAAACCAACTACTCTCGCCAGTGTAACCAAAACAGTAACGGAATTTTTTGTCTTTAATATATATGTATATATATATAATACCTAATAGGTGACATTTATTTTTATGTATAGTCTCCATGAGACGAGGAGTGTAGGTGATACAACGAAGCAGACGGAAATCAAAAACTCAGAAACTGGAAGGAATACATTCTCTGTAACTGACAGGTTGTTTTTACCACACAAGTACTTCTCGAAGTGAGCTGAGAGGAAATTATTGGACAAAGTGGACAAAGTATTCCATATCCCGTAGCACTTGCCCACGGGAATATGAATCTAGAGAGAGAGAGCTCGAGAGCATCAGAGAACTAATGGTATAAAACAAACATACTGGACGCCCACAAAATTCACACACGTCGCTTAGCAACTCATGATCACCTGGAATTTAAGGAAGGACAACAAACGGTGGAATACAGAAGCTTGTCAGATAACACCCTATGGCCAGTTCATTTGACGGTATATAGAAAACAACCCGAATGAAAACAGGATATCACCGATTACTGACCTGAAAACGTGTTTGTACCTCTTGTCTTGTACCGCACTCAAAAACGGACCTGGCTGTTTTGTCCTGTGGTGGCTCCTTCGCACAATAAAGCCGGTAGACATCAGTGAGATTGTTCAGGCTCGTTTCGGAAATCCATTGCAGACCCTTTGGAGGAAAAGCAAAACGAGAGCTGTTCTGAAGTTGACATCGGATAAGTGCTTTCTGGTGGTGATGGAATGAGTTTATTGTTAATGGGATCGTTTACGTGAGGTCAGCTATGTCCTGCAGATATGGAAGCGAAACAATTTAGGTTTTTAGCCGAATTTATAACTTGGGATGTCCTTAAGTGAGTGAACATGAGGATGGAAACGCCATAGCTTAAGTAATAAATAAACGGGCGGGTAATGCGACAGTGAAGTAGCAAGCCTGTTGGATGCACGCTCGCTTGTGGTCATCAGAAGACGACACTGGTCATCGACGGGTGTCTTTATCTGGTCTCTAAACGGATAGTTGTTGTATGCCAACCACAGACATGTCTGGGCGACCATTTCTTCTGTCCCAGCAACCTCTACAATCAGACGATTTCTTACTGCTGTAACGACACCCATTCTCAGGGAGTCATTACGGAACCACTGCTGAGAGGAGATGTGCTAGAGGAGGTCAGTAAATGAAACGACAAAGAAACAAGGAGTTCATAACCAGGAAGCTCAGCAGTAAGTGTCTTCGCGGATAGGAGCCCCAACGCGGGAAAGTACAGCACTCATTTCATTAGGAACCATTAAAGAGCACTAATATCGACTCATATATTTTGAGGTGATGCTTCGTTGGAGTTTTACTTTGAAGTGAATGCAGAACAAACTAGGGTCATGAAATCGCCACTTTCAAGCACCTCAAGGTTACACAACAAAATAGATGGATGCACGAGCAATATTCTCGGGAAAACATAGCGTTGGGTCAGATTGCCAAAGCTTCTCTTCAAGTCAGATAAAGCCCTAGTTGAGATCATGGTTCCGAAGCAAAGATTTCATCTGCCAGAACTACCTTTCCAATTAGGCACCGTACTTAACGGTAGCCCAGAGCATTCGTATATGCTCGAGATAGCTCAGTGAGTAGGACACCAGCTTACGAACCGAAAGGTCCGTGGTTCAACCCAACTTCAGGATCTCGACCGCTCCTGTCTAGGCTTGCCCAGCTTGGCAGTATTACAGCCCTTGTGTATCATTCCGTTTGCATGATAGCTGGGCGCTGAAAGGGTACTACAGCTGGAAGATTATTATTGTTTTATTATATACAGTCTTCCAAGCGCCTGGACACAACCTTGATCTTTCCTACGAGAGATGGTCAGAGACGTTACCGTACTGTAATGGCACATTTTCTGGCTGCGTTCAGCCAGAAAATGAGCTCCATTTGCTGTGTTTTGGTTTGTTTGGGATGAGTGAAACTCAGTCCGTTCCGATTCATCCGGTGACAGTAATGAGGCCAGGGTCGCTCGTAAGATCTATCTGAGGGTTACTCCGTGGCAGATGGTTCCTGTGGGTTCCTTATTTGAAGATTATGGCGAATTCAATAGGAGTGAACTCTCTTAAGAAAGTTCTCTCTTGGATAATTACGGTCGTGCATGCCGTAGAAGACTACATGTCTACCTAGGAACAATCACGAAGTGAACAGGCGTGCGTGCCGAACACAGAGCACAGACATTGAGGAGTAAAAACTCAGACTCACCATAACATTAGCGTGTTCCTCCACATCATTCAACTTGGATGTTTCTCCGTGGGTACTCATATATTTCTGCCACAATTTGTTGTTGAACAAATGTTTGGATGCTGCGGTTTTCAAATGTCTTTGTGTGCTGGTCAACCCGGACACAGCCACATGAAAAGATAGTGTGTCCAGAAACCGTGTCCCAGTTCCCTGAGATGAAAACAAATTACCGTCAAATTTATGACCGGAACTCACCTGAAGATAGTATTCCTCGAGTAAACGTGCTCGGTCAAAACTCACAAAATGACCAATCACACATTTGGGACGACTAGTGTCCTTACTGTCGTACAGAGGAATCAACGAATCTAGGGTCTCATTTGTGGATAATTTCTCGCTGTAAAGATTTGGGGAAACCCAAGAATACCTTTCGGGCGTGGTCAGTAGAAATGCATGACATGGTTACCATCCGTTTGGTGTCAGCACGACAGCCATTGTTGGAAGATCACCCTCTTCCATGAGAACTTCAATGTCAAGAACCATGATGTCGTCCACGGGTGCTCTGACACTCTCTATTTGATCACCAGAGTATCTACAAAAATAATAGTCCTAATCACGAGCAACTCACCTGGTCCATCCAGACTGAGTGCTCCACGATTCCGGCATTGGTGGAACGGTCCCAGAAAACGAGTCCAAAAGTTTCCGGTAGGGCGTGACGAGTTGGGCAGATATGTTTTGCATGTGTTTTTCAATATCACCGCCAATCAGGTCAGGAGGGGAAAAGCTCACAGGTAGGCGTTCTGGCTGTGAACGATTTACATCAATCCCGTGTTTTTCTAGCTCATTCAGAACGGACTGTGGTGCTAAGTCGTAGCGGCTAATCTCACAGCCGAATAAACATGCTTGCAGATGTCTTGAAAGCATCTGTATGCGTACTTCATTGTAGGTTGGTTGTTCCGCATTACTAACGATCTTTGTAACCGCGCAACCTTGTGCGTACAGGGAAGTCAGACGAATGCACCTGCTCAATACCGGTTGGCTGATGCACAAAGGGTTAGACAAACCGCAGAATCGGCACTTACCATGGGAAACGCAAAAGAACGGAGATCATTTAACAGCTGCTTACGGGATGGATATGGTGGGATGAATCGATAACGAGTTGACTGTGGTGCTGCTAATAGAAAACTCCTGAAATTGGAACACGAAAAAAATGAAATGGAAGAGCACACCTGTGTTACCAATACGTACACACGATTACGAAGAAAACTATGGTAATCCAGCTAACGGACCTTGTTGATAATTCAGGAAGAGTAAACTGTTATCGTTGACGACACAGTCTCTCAAAATCTGTGAATCAGTCACGTTCCTTTCTGAGATATCAATCACGTGATACACACAGGACAGCTGATATCCTTCCAGCTACTGCAGAAAAAATGAGTTGATGTCTGTCGCATGCGAATCGTGCTCACCACTTACAAGAAATGTTCGGATAACCAGCCCTCACAACAAAAGGATAAATTCGGTGCGCTAGATTCTATCGACGACTGGGATCCTCGTTCCATGGGATAACATTGGAGAAATATCTTCACTTTACTTTCATGGACAGATTACCCTTTATTCCGATCGATCCACCATTGAGATAACCAGAACATTTCCTCTCTTTGATCCCTATGTTGCCTAGTTGTATTACAACAGTCCCTTTGTTTCCATATTTTTCGGATTACTTGAAACCCAATGGTAGATTACTTTAGCTGAATGCCTTAGCAAGAAATTTCCTTCATTATTCGAAAGAAGTGACATTTTACGTCTGAATGAAGTCGAAGAGAGCAGCACTAAGAACTCCTGGACGTAAACCGTCGGAAAAATGGATGGAAAATCAACAAAACGGTTAAAAATGAAACCTATCCAGATAGGAAGTGTCATTGGATGAAAACCACACGCGCATAGCAGACCATGATGTGACGGCACAATATTTTCGGAACGAAACTGACGGAAATGAACACAGTGAATTGGAAACCCGGGCCATTCTAGACGTCAATTTTGAGCCGAGCCAAAGTCCCTAAACAACACGAGACATTTTCAGGCGCTGGCTCAATCCGTGGTACAAGAAACTCTCAGAAAAAGACCGATTATTTTGCCGGGGGAAAATTAGACCACCTTGATATAAAATGTTACCGTTTGTGCCACCCAATACTACTACTGTAGAACTATCTAGGCTGTCAACTCAGATTACAGAAGGACTGTTCAGACATTTAATTCACCTAAAAGATGATTACACAAAGTAAACGCGGTTGCAAAACGTGTAGGCTGTCCAAAACCGTCTTCCATTTCACTGTGGTTAACTTTTCAGTGGCCCATTACAGGGAGTTTGAAGTTTGCAAACTATTAAAGCAATGCTACATCAAAATCCCATTTTGATTATCTCACTCTCACAAACTGAGTTAATAAATTATTCAAACCCCTGATACGGACTAAAACACCTGTGTGGCTAGGCCTTTTCTGGACCCAACCATATGTTCACCGTGAAATCCGATCGAAAACAAAGCACACGGTTCTGTAATTACCAAGTCCTCTGCGAGGACGAATGGCTATTCAAACAAAAACTCTAACTGCTCGTCAGTATTCAGACTGTCTGAATGAGTCAAGTTTCTTATCTGAGCAGAGCAGAGTGGATTGACCAAGATAAAGGTGTCTGAGATTAGCGAATATACAGTCATTTGCAAACTAATTTGGTTATTCGAAAGACCTACCTGGAACCCAGCTGAATCTCTCGGTTTCGATGTTTCCAGGCAACTGAATGTGCTTTACCAGGCCGCCTCATTGTTCAGTCGTTACGATATTCGAGATATCGCGATACATGTATATTTGTAATCCGCTACTCATAAGGTTGCTGAAAATTCTTTCAAAAAACCAAATTAGTTTGCAAATGAGTGTATATTCGCTAATTTCGTGCCATTTGGTTTCAAGTAGAACATAAGGTTGACGGAAACTCGGGGACTGCGACAACATGATGAGCCCCAAGAAGGGCTGTCGACGAGTTTTCAGCAATCTTATGAGTAGTGCATTACAAATGTCTGAGATTAGTCAATGGTCATGTTTTAAAAGGCTCATTCGCTCAAGCCTATTGTGCACTCCGTTTGCTATCCTTGGCTACACGATACAGAAAAGAGCTTCAGCATGCTGTCAAGTAGTGGGATTTCAGTTACAGGTAATATGGGAAGAGAAACAGATCTTAGTGAAAACGTAAAAGACAGTGAAAATTCAGAGTAGCACAATCCAACCAGGATTTCACAGTTATACTGACCACAAGAAGCCTCGGTTCGTAAAACCAGGTAGTCAATGACAGTGAATTCATGTGCTTTTTTACTTGATATGTTCACACTGAACATCTGATTATGGTAGAGTACCACTCCTTTCCCGACCCCTTTGCGAAATCCCTATTCACGCTACCAGGTTTTCGAAACAATCATTCACTACTAAATGCAAGGAAATGAAGCGAACCCGTACCGTACTCGTGAAGTAGAGATCGTCGGTCCTGGAAATGCAGCCTAGCACGGGTATCATCTAGATTAGCAGGCCCTCCATGAGGATAGTGAAAAATTATGAGCGACTATCTGACAACTCATCAGGATCTCAGTTTCGGACGCATAGGCTAAACCAATAAAAAAAAACGCCTGAATCCATAACCTTGTACCTTGCGACAAATCTTAGACAAACATGCTGTGACAAACCGGTATGAGCAAGGACGTGTCGCTTGAGTTGACAGGTGCGTCAATTAAACCTGATCAGATAAAACCGCTTCGAAATCGGACATGAAGCCCGCCGTGGAAAATTACCACGAGATGAATGCCGCTAAAGTAGCTTTTACGTGGTACGGAATAAGGGAAGCAGATTTGAAACGAAATCCTCCAGGTAAGATGCCCCTCCTTCGAGGTCATTCTGCTAAAGAGCCTCAGTGTTCCCTGCTGGTCACACAGTGTACGGTCTTTCGAGTAGCGGCCGAATAGACCTGCTAGAAATGGGACTAGGCTTACCGGAAACCCCCAAACTTACCACCGTGTAAATTCATTGGCCAATGACCTCATACGTAGTCTTGGCCACGAACTAATGTTGGGAAAGCGCAATGATCCATTAGATGAGCAGATCACAAAATTTCTTCTGACTATGCCCTTAGTTCCACATTTGCAATAGCAATGCCCCTTGCGGTGTAAGCGCAAAATTTGGACAACATAACCACGGAAAGCAAAACAAGCGACTATACTATATTATGTAAAGTGGCATTCGCCCTGCCTAGCAATGATGCTTTTTCAAGAACCTACATAAGCGTTTCTTGCCGGGCCCGATTTGCTTCACAGCTTCGTAAAAAAGCCCATCCCCGTAATGGCCCGCCTTGGACGGAGAGTTTTACGCAAAGCAATGGTTAGCATAATCTTCAATGGAGACAAGCACCGATTCAACTGTTCGAGTGAACAGCTTCAAGAGCTACCAAAGTACTTTCCAGATGGAGATGTTCCTCAATTGGAGGGTGGATAACAAGAATCGCACCACAAGCTCTTCTCTACTGAAGTAACAGGATATTAGTCGAACGTACGACTGAATAATCACCGCTGTCATACAGGACTGACTGGACTCGAGTAAGAACTATAAGGCGAGATGACTTGTGACGAAGAGTTGTATCTACATAACAGGAAAACGATAATGGGTTTCCACCTGTTGGCTCTTTGCTATCCTCAATTCACAATTTAAATGTGCCGCATTCTTGGGAGCGGTTGTGTCTGTAAAGTTATCGGCCAAGGACAGTACAATCCGGCCGACAAAACCCTACTTATCTGGCGGGGAAATGGAGCGGTATTGGTTATGACGCCATACGTGACAGTCCATCAGCCCTTATAGTCCAGTACCGGATACATCAACTCCAATATTTCTTATTGGAGGAACCAGGAAATGGGTTTTCTTGAATTATAAGGGGGACAGGTTGCGATGGAGAGAATTTGATACTACTCGAAATTACTTCTTTGACCGGAATATTTTCTCATAAAGGGGGCACCGCAGTCTGCAATCTTACAAATGTAAACAAAGCGGTTTTATCAAAGTTTGACTGGCGAAAAGGATCCCCGCAGTCAAGTCCATTGAAGCTGACGTTGATTACAGTAAACACTAAAATAGCTACCGTTAAATGGACGGTTGTTACTGACAGGACTAGTCATGCAGAGATGAACGGACTACGATCGATACCTTGATTGAATGAAGCAGATTTATGTGGAAACAATCTTTCGTGCTTTAGGTCATGATGTTTATGTGGATAGCGTGCATAGTAACTCGAAATGACACTAGCTGGTTAATCAATACACACAGCCTCTTTCCCTGTCACCTCCGGTTCAACTGTTTTATAGACTCCTTGGAAAAAGGTAAGTCGGATGGTGACCTAAGTCTTTCGTTTCAAATTCCGACTTTCCAGACATATTTTACAACCTAGGCGGACAACTAATCAATCTTAGCACTGATATCATAGTCCAGACGAATAGCCGAAGAGAGTGAATTGGAGAAACCTGGCAACCTCAAGCTTCAGGTAACTACTGAAAGTTATCAATATTCCATGTGAATTATCACAAAGCATTGGATACACGAAACAAACTCAGTATACAGTTTAAGTCAGGCGTCAGGCACGCTGAAAAACCAGCGAATGCAGCAGCTTCATGCAAGCAACCAGAGTATCCTCAGGTACATTCGAACACAAAACAGAAAATTTCTGAGGAACTGTTATATCATCCACTTCATTTCTATTTTGACCGCCCCAGCTGCTCAGTCATTTTCACCGGGCGTAAACGTGCAACAGTCACAACCCAAAGACCAACTATTAACGAACCTGTCATCTGAAAAGCCGATACTGCCGTGGGATGAAGGCACCACCGCGAATCTAATATCAAAGTCATGATTGTGCAACATCAAACTGACCTAAAAAGACAAAGACGTCCATGCAAAGAATACAGAAGACATCTCTGCATTCGTGGGCGGGCTTTTCCTCCGGTGTTTTCCGTACCAACAATGTCTGGGACTCTACCTGCACCAAATGTACAGAGCATTGCCTCACCACGATATTCATGAAACGGTCTTATTCTCTCAAACGACTGAGGCAAACCAAGCAGTGCATTAGCCTCCAATTTTTGTGCTTGCAACTAATTATTGCTAAAACTGCCCTACTTCGTTTGACTAGTGCGAATATCGATGAAGAAATTCATTTACTGAATGGAAGAGCCCGACAGAAATCCATAGTAACTACGACAGACGGAAATCAAGACAAACAACTCCTTGCATTTCAATACTGAGTGGTCTTCGAAACGCAAACGAGAGAAACCGAAACAGAAGACCCCACTAAAAGATTAGTGTAAATATCCGATGATAAAAGCATATGACTGCCAAACGCACTGCAAGCGAGACAAACAAACACAACTGGACGTCAGTTTAGCATGCCCTTTGGAAGACAGAAGGCGGCGAAATGTTGGGGATTATATTCAAATGTATGTATATATACACAGTAGAAACGAACATCAAAGCACCAGGTCAGCAAGCAGTCGATATACTGGATTCGGTATTCTTACTGCGGAAGGTGCAGTAAGCAATAACACAGTTTCACGGCCAAAAAAACCTAAAATGAGATTTGAAGTACAGACAGATGACAAAAACGTGAAGAAAAAAAGGATCACCATATTCGGGACTGCTTGGGGGGCGGTTCACTAGACGTATCCTCGGAATTCATCTTGACCAAAAGGGGATCTTTGACAACCTGAGAAGCCGGGGATATGGAGTTGGGTGATTTGAAGGCGTCCGGGAAGACGAGAAGAATGCAGGTCACATTGTCCCCAGACATGCGAAGTACTGCTTCGTTTACGAGATGGGAGCATACGGACTCCAAATGACGCTGTGTGAGTCCACAGGTAGGCGGATTAGACGAAAGATCGCTCTGCGAAGATAACAAAGTGGAACACAGCTCATCCACCAGCATAGTAACAGAATAACACGCACCGACCAACTACTGCAAGGTGTGCCAACTTTCATGGATATTTGCAATTAATTAGTGTGTTGTTCTGCATATCGGTATGTCTACTCGAGTTGACCACACAAACATCTTCAAGCGGTTTTGGCGTCCAAGATAACGCCCACACGTCTGTATACTTACTTCAACGGATCTGTCAATCTTATTGTCTGAATACGTCCACTTGGATGAACATCAAGAGCAGAAATACCTAGAAGTTCGGTCCAGGTAGGTGATACCCCATTTGAAAGATAAAGGGGTCCACTCTGTTTACTGCCAAGTAGTAAATCTACTGATTATATTGCTCGGATGGATGTTCTGTTGGCGAAATATTTTTGGAGTGCTTCAAGCCCTCAAGGTAATGGCAGTTGTCGTGAGATCAAATCGGTCAAAACTGGTCAAAATGACGAGCTACGAACGGTCGACTACACATAAACAAGCTTTTTTTAAAAAAAAAAATAAAGCTGATTTCGGCAAGCCACGACCAGCCGTCCAAAATAAGTTCTGATACATTCGAAAGAAATTCAGCTCAAAGTTGAGGTAATTAACTACATCAGTCACTTTGAAGAGTGCACAAATGCACTAACCATCGATCATGACCTGGTGGACGACCCGTCCATAGAGACACCATCATCATACACGGAAAGTCTTCCCCGTGATAGTTGTTCAGGGTGCATGACTGTAGTTGGAAACCAACTCGATTAAACGCCCAAGTGCCAATATCTCCCACGCTTACTTTACAACAATAATCAGTAGTAACGTTGGATTAACAACCTACTGGACAGAATCAATCACTCGCTTCCGCCCATTGAAGTGGAGAATCATCTAACACTGTGATGGGATTTACAATTATCTATTGCGACTGCCTCCACACAAACAAAAACAACCTGACTGCCGTTGGAACTCAGAGCTTCAAACTCCTTCAGCAGAAGACGATTAGTGAGAGCGACTGCCTCGTCCGGTGGGAAACTCTTCCACAGACCATCACACGCGATGAGTAGGAATCTGAGGAGTAGAAAAAAACAGTATTCAGATAATTAAGGATTAAAAAGTTCGAAATACGTAATACAAGCGAACGCAATAGGAAACAGCGAACAAACAGAGAACAACCATGCAATTTGCCGCGCCCAAAGGTGCTTTCCAACACCGGTTGGAGCAGCCGAACGTCAGTGTAACGACGACGTATCCCCAGTTGCCCGCTCTATTCCTGGACCTTTATTCAACATTACCAATCATGTACGAGCATCCACACTTGTCAACTGTCACCAAGTGTCCCTACAGAGATTTGAGTTCAGTTGGATCTCACTAACCTCGACTCTACTCATTATTTTCGCTCATACTTAGAAGAGTTTATCCTGAATGGTTTCGCAAATGTGTGCACTTTCTCCACAGGTGTTTGTCCTATAGTATTGGTAAGGTCCCACCTGCTCCTCATTAAGTGACAGAATCCAAATGGCTCCATTCCAGCGTAACTGTCTACACAATATTCAATCCAAACACACCAGTGAACACCATCACACACAAATCACCGTTTAGCCAGTCAATTCACACTCAGTTCAGGCATCCTCTTAATCGGTTTCCTCGTACAACTACTCAAAGAAAAATCATGCGTGAAGCAGCTGGCCTTGTAGGCGATAAGAATATCCGCATCAGTTCAGGTTAATCCGAACTCAGCATAACCGAGAAGTTACCAAAGGAACTGCTTGGTGCAACCCACAGGTGTGAGTACTGATATCCGCTTGACATATAAGTCAACAATCCCTTAAGTTGTTGTCCGTACTCACCAAATTGAATGACAGGGTTCCTCTGGTGTTTGCATTCCTACTCAGGTGATTTAGAATGACCTAATAGTACAAGCTACTCGCGGAACGACCGCAAGCTGAGGGTTCTCTCATGCAAAGCAACCCCTCTGAAGGGGTCTAAACGGTAAAAATCGGTGATAACCACGACCGAAGGGTACTACTTTACATCCGACTAGTTGGCTGCACCGCTGAAAATAAAAACTCGTTATTGTTTTATATGGAACACCGCGCACAAATCGAAATCGTCGGAAAGTTTAGCCAGGAAAGTCAAAGTGCTTCGAAGCATCGACTGTGCCAACCAATCCGTACAGAGGTGCCAAGCAATACAAATGAACCATAGCAGCTGAAACAAGGCTGGACAGTAGCAAGCGGGCCAACAACGCTCCAATGGTAAGCCTTAATCCTTGGATCGTGCCAGGAAGTCAAGAAAGTAGCCGTACAGCAACCGACAGAATGCAATGCTATGGTTTGATGACATAATACTGTAGGTATGAGCATCAGGTGGCCGACGAATCTCTGGATATTCGACTTACTATTATGATGAGTGTGCCTATAACAATGTTGGGCGTCGGAATATTTTTCATTTCCTTGTTTCCCCAGGGAGCAAGCAGACATGAACTACCAGAAAAACAGCTCATAGGGCCACGTAAACACACGTTTACCCAAAAAGATTATATAAAAACCTAAACACAACAATAAATGCTGTCACTAAAATGTGTAGCCTCGAGAGGGGTTCAGATGTAACCTATAAGTGACATTGGCCGTTTCCTAAAAATCTAAAAAATCATTATTAGATTTGTTGACCATCGACAGCAGGACATCCGTGTTCAACACTGAGGATTCACTGCCGTACAGCAATGATTGATTTAAAGCCTTACTGTGAATAAAAAAATAAAGGTGGATGTGGAAGGGACTAAGTTCTAGCTTTTTTTCTTTTTATTTCTAGCTTTCATTTCGAAGTGCCTCTGCCTCCAGACACACAAACGCCACTGACATCGATTAGCAGTCATAGCTTGCAGAGTCTCCAACAAGGCACAAAGGGGATTACGCGGTCCCCATCCTGGAAGGAGAGTAGCACCGACAGAACCCAAACGTTTCGTTACCGCTTTCATACCCCTCTGCCAGGTCAAGGATTGGTCACCTCTCCGCTTCCAACACTCCCAACTGGGCACGGAAAACAGTACCCTCTTCGATGGTTCGGCATACGCAAGACATTGCATAACCAACGCAGCTCTTGGCGCTGGACACATTCTTCAATGAAAGACTCCGTCGCAAAACCGAAAACTCGCCTTCTAATTGCCTCGTTGCTATGATCCTGGGACAACGATTGTCGAACACCTGAAGACGTCTCAGTTCCGTTGCTCGAACAGGCTAAGTCTCACAGCCATACAACAAAGCAGCCCGCACCGTAGCCTGACACACGTCCCTTGAGATTCAGTAATGTACCCCTTTGACGCCATAGGTATCTCAAATTAGCAAACACAACCCGGGGTCTTGTAGATTCGTGCATTGATATCATCTGTCACACACTAACACAACTTCCAGGCTACGTAAACCGTTCCACAACTTCGAGTATGTCTCCCTGGGTTGTAAGTGGAGTGTTTAGCGACTGCATGTCCATGCATGTCCATGACCTTACACTTTGTGGGTGCAAATTGCATACCAAAGAACTGGATGACTTTGGTCAGTTCATCCAAAAAACACCTGCGCCTTCTCCTTCTTTTTGATGGCGAGGACGATGTCGTATGCATACTCTAGATCGACAAGGTTTTCGCCACAGGCTATTTAGACACCGGGGATTTGAAAACCTTCCAGAGTTTGTCCCAATATTTCATCGATCAAAAAATTAAATAGGAAGGTTTATTGGTACCAGATTTATTGGTGGTACGATATTTGGATTTTCACACTGTCAACGGATTATAAGCAAATCACGCATTATGCAAACCTCTCATCTGAGAACTATTCACCCGAAAAGCTAATCAGCATGTGAAATGAGCGAATTACGGATGAGTGTCGATATGTCCTGCTGATCGTAGAGGCCTATCAGTAGTCTTAAGCTATTAGCATGGAGGCTGTTGGTTGGAATTATCATTGTCAGCTGTAAGAACCGCGTACTCGCCGTACATTGGTTGTAGCTGCCATAGTTTTGTTTGGAGAGGTGAGGTAGGTAACTGCGCATTGGAAGCGGAGCTGATAAGTTGGTACGTAAATACAGCAGTTTCAGTGGACTGTCAAGTGCGGGAATTGGGAAGGTAGCTATGCATTGAAGGCAATAGCTTGGATGCATGAGCACCATCGAGGGCGCGACTGGGCCATGTCTGACAATGTCACTAGCCATCGATGTGGCCCGTCTCGGAGTCCCCATCTAGGAAGACGGAAATGACCAGCGCAACTGAGTCTGTTGGTAATGGCTTTTATACTTTGCTCTCAAGTCATTGTTTGACCGCCTCTGGCTCGTTTCCACCATTCACGAGGTTGTGCGAAAAGAGCCCTTCGAGGCAATCGGTCGACTGGTATACGAAGAACGTGGACAAGCCAGCGCAACCTATGCAGTGTGATCAGTTCGTCTATCAAGGGTGAGTTATTTCTTCCGAATACCATTCGAAGTAGTTCGGTATTGCTTATCCGGTGTTCCCACCACACTCGAGCAACGCTCCGAAGACATCGATGTTCAAACACTGAGTCTTTTGACGTCCTCGGCGCGCAGCGGCCAGGTCTCTGAGCCATATAGCAATATGGAGCGCACCGGTGAACGAAACTGTGGCAGCTACAACCACTGTACGACAAGTATGCAGTCATTACAGCTGACAATGATGATGAAACTCGACCCTTGACGGAGAAGCTGATGTCACGCCTACGTCACAGATGACGTAAGTTCGCAAAAGCTGCTCTGGCCTTCCCAATCCGGATGGGAGTACCAACTTTCGCGAGACCACCGGGACTGATACAGCTGCCCAGGTGAACAAATTTGTCTACTACCTCAATCAGTTCATCCGCAAGCACGAGGTTAGGGTTCGAGCCCACTCAGTTTTGCAGTAGTACTTTGCAGGTGTGAAGAGCATGCCAAACCGTGAGGCAGAATTATTTAAATTATTTAATATTGTTTGCATCACCATGGAGTCAGATCTAAGAAGAGCTATGTCGTCTGTGTACTCGGTATCTGTGAGCGGACGCCCCGGGAGCACCTTGACCGCACAGTCAGCCCACTCAAAGATGACTACTGAAGAGAATTTTAACAGTTCGGATAGCATAGATATCATCTGGTTTGCTAGCTGAGCTGAGCTATACGGTGGGAGCTGAATGCACACAAACATATTTTTCAGCAGTCTTTTCGTCTTAACGTAGGCTCTAAAGCCACGATGTGTTGGGTGCGTCCACACACAGTGAATGACTTTGTTAGCAAGAGTAAGTTCGGTATTCAGGGTGGAATTTTCTCTCAGACAGAGAAGACTAATCACATTCGTGACATGATTCTAAAATCGCTTGGTTCAAGGTTGCCGGGCATGAGATGACGTGTTCTAAGAAGCAGATGCGCAGGGAGGGAGGAATTTCTAATAGTTTTTCATAAGCACATCACGATGAACTGCACAACACACAAACCATACAAAAAACTTTTACTAATAAATCCTTTACCCACCGATCGTTTGGAGTCAGTTGGCACTTCTTCACATCAGGAATGCAGGTAACTCCTTGTTTCTTGAACTGATAATCACCAAACGAGCGACTGACCTCTAGAATATTGTTTACTCGACCATTCTGAACTGAAGCTCCAGAAGCTTGAATACGCTGCCGTTCCTCGTAGTCCATCGGGTTGTGGTCGCGTGTCAAACAGACGGCAGAAAGCGAATAGGACCCACTGGGGCTTTCTTCTGATTTGTTTGAGTCACCATTATCAGAGGATACCGGATGTAGATCTCTCACCATGCGACCTAGAACAACCTGAACAAGGTAGTTAGAAACGATGATGGTTAGTTATGGTCAACTGCTACGCTTTGAGGCTTACGAAGCACCTGCCAACAAAATAAGTTACCGGAATGAACAATCTCAGCACACCTAGATGAATCCCTTGCCTAGTGATGTAAAGAATACAAACTAACCTAGTCTTTTGGAAGACACCAAGGACAAGTAAGTAGTGGGAAAAATTCTCGAGAGATGGACTCCAACAGTTATTCAAGCCATCACGTTTTCCGGAAAATACTGCTAGCTGACGCAGAAGTGCCACCGAGCATAATGCCGAGTAGCCTTCATAGAGCAAACTACTCACAAGGTTGCTCAAAACTCTTCAACAACCCACGACCGAAATATCGTACCGACCGAAACATGAGGCGGCTTGTGTGCAGCACATTCAGTTGAAGAATATCATGAACCAGAGATTTAGTTTAGCCTCCCGTGAAAACCAAATTGATATGCAAATGAGTGTATTTGTCAAAAAATAGAGTAGTCTGTTTTCAACCAAACAAAACCTTTCAAAAAGCTGAAACCTCTGTTCAACTGCTTGAAAATGCAATCGATTCAGTTCTGATATATTTGGGCTTTATGTCGGTTAAATAAGTGGACGCAATTTGGATACAAATCTCCGAAGATGGCAAAACTACTTGTAGTTGGACATTAGGACTGGGGTTACAGCTCTTAGTGGAACGCATCTAGGGGTAACTTCGCTGATTGAATTATCACCGATAAGCTAACACCACACGAAGGACCTACTCTCCCAGATTAGGAACCAGAGAATTAGGCGAACAGGCCTCTGGTCTTTCGGATGGAGAAAGAAGAACATGCGACAACCAATCCTGTAACATTTGGACTTCCCTGTCAATCACATGCTGACTACTTCTGAGCTGAACTCCGACTGAGGATCCGAAGCATCCCCCTGTTTAGGCTTGGACATTCCAACAGACAGACAAGGGTTATGCAAAATTGTTATCCCAGACCAAATTGACCATCGCTTAATAAGAACCGCTGCAAGCAACAGTAGGAATAACCGAAACTCTACTGCTGCTGACACCTCTAATTTTTCCATAAGTGTATCTTTTACATCCTCTCCCATTCCATCTGATGGTTGTCCTTCTGCATCAATTATCAGCTACGAAACCGTGTATCTTCTAAATGACAGTTAGATACCGGTAAGTACTGGTATAACGCTTCTGATCACAAGAGTGAGAACGCGAATCACGACATCAACACAACTTGTATTTCGATACGATCAGAAAAATCCACGAGTCACTTTTAATCCCTCACACTGGTTGCATTTTCAGTAAACTTATCCCACCAGAGAATTTTTCACACTTGCACAAAATTTAAACACTACCTTGTCATCTTATCTCTTGGTACGTTTGAGGCTTACCCTGAAATTGCATACCTATTTTCGTTCAACAGAAGTCGGTAAAAAAGTCACTGATGAAACTCCAGCTTCCCATTTTAGAGCTGCCTTGAAATATCTAGCGGGCAACCTTGTCTAGGTTCAAAGAAAATCCACAGCGGATTTTTTTTGCGTTTTTAAATACCAGTTGGTGTAATCATTGGTGTAACTCATGCTATTAAACACGTTCACCACATTTCCATTTGTCATTACGCTCCGTCCTGCACAACGTACGACTGTGAAGTCCTGGAACGAGGTACACATTAAGTGATTCACATTTATTTTGCTAGGAAAGTTTGATGAAAGACTGAGTGGGAATATTATGAGAGACACGTGATACACGTGATATTATTTCATTACCAAGGGACCAAATTTCGATAAACCATATCTATCTGCACAATTGGTGACTGAGTTACGGTGATCGTTTTTCTGCGACAACTTTTAAACAGAGGTCATTGAATCTTCTGCGTTGGGAACCACTGGTTTAGAGGAACAGATAGGCCAACAAAATCAAACTCGCCTTCGAAATTAAGGGTAGACCGTATGTGCGTTAGTGCTTTATTGATTCCTAACCAGAATCTCGCCTGCTGTTCCGGGGTCAGGCCATTGCACATTATCACAAGACGGTGGACAGTAATTTAATCTAGGTGACATGTTAAGGCTGGGATCACTAATAACATTTTGAAGGTTGCTAGCGGTTAGCTGAGCCAGGCTACATCTGCAAATATGTTAAACAAGCACTGACTGAGAATTCAAGCTTTTCTCTTACACAAAGAGGGCACTAGATTAGCAAGACTCGAAGGAGAAAACATACTCGCATATCTCCGAGACAATGGAGGTTCCAGTTCCTCCCTCCAGAGTTATGTGACTCATCGAAAGTCCGACAGAACAGCAACAGTTGTTTAGTTCACTTTCGCTCAGTTTTCGACCCAACAAACATGAGGATGCTTTTTCTTGGTGACCAATACACCATTTTCGGTGCACCACCAACGGTTATTATCATGGGAAATTTTTTGGTATGTTGCAACGACCAGCTGAAAGTATTTTTGAATATTATCAGTTCTTGTTTCCTCCACTGCCCCAACCTCCTGAAGCTACCGGTCGACACGGACACGCCTTCCACTCAACTCTGGTTGTACACTGATGTGCATCATAGTAGCGCCGTTCGAAATCAATCGGTTCAAGCAATTTCTCAGCTATAAACCATTACCATAGGTACATGTGCCATCTGTTACAGTTTCGATCACCGAAAAGGGGAAGAGGGTGGGAGATACAGCCAAGCATTGGAGATAATGGCATGCTCAGTAAGTTCTGGAACCGGGTAGCCACCCATTATAGGCAAAATCTTGGATGCGCGTGCACCACTGACTACGCGATTGGGTCATTTCTGCCAGTGCCATTAACCATTGGTGTTGAGTCCCGGGGTCCCCATCAAGGGAGGTGACAGGTGTCCACCTGACTGAGTTGACTAATAGTGTTTTCATACTCCAATGCTAGGCCATACACTGTCCACCTCTCGGCCACTTTCACTCAAGGTTCAATGAAAAGAGCTCTGCGAGACACACGTTCTTCTGGTATGTGAAGTACACGACCCAACCAGTGTAACCTATGAAGTATGAGTAGTTGATCCAAAGCGGAATAGTTCCTTCTTTTCGCGTACTTAAGCATTGCTGATCCGATGTTCACACTAGACCCGACTAATGTTTCAGAGACACAGGTGGTCAAACAATGACATCCTTTGTATGTCTTCTACACGTAAAGACCACGTCTCTGATCCATAAAGTAGTCAGAATCGCACTGTCACTGTGTAAACTGCCGCCGCCAGATAGAATGACGTAACGCCATGGGTATCGGAAGTTGGTTAAAGCTGCCTTGGCCTTACCGATTCGATAAGTAATCTTATTTCCAGCCAATCCACTGGAACCCATACAGTTGCCAAGCCAGACAAATTTATCAACCACGTAAACTGGCTAGTCTGAAATCATCAGCTTCGGGTTTGATCCTACCCAGTCTTGCACCAGCACTGTACACTTTGCAGGTGTGAAGCGCATGCCAAACCGTGCGGCAGTTATTTGGGTTATTTCAAATGTCTTGAAGAGGAAGGGCGAGAAAGGGCACCTTGTCTGATACAACTGGACGAGGTGAACTCAGGCGCACGTCCACAGGAGTCCGTATACACTACCCCATAAGGAATATAAATTCGGGACACCTAATCGTCAGACATCGCCTACGTTTCTGACGATCGACAGAGTCAAAAGCATCTTTCAGATCAAGGAAAACGACTAACGTGGAACGCCTGAAAGTGCCGCTGTTCAAGAACTTGTCTCAAGGTAAAGATACAGTCAACACACCCTCAACCAAGGCGAAAACCAGCCTGATTTTCACGAATCTATCTCTCCCGATAATCGATCGACCTGAGCAAAATAATACCAGAGAGCACTTTGGACATTGCACCCCTTCTGAAGACTGGGATGACGATCGAAGAACTCTATTCGGCTGGTATTCTGCAGCATGGTTGTCAGGCCGTCCACCAGGATCGTACTGGTTTCTTTGAAGACTAAGAGGTGCAGACCATCCCTGAAAGGTGAAATATCGCGTTGAAAGGGTGATATCTCACACTAAATTTTAGTTGCTGACGGCGCTGGATTCTACTAGCGGTTGTAATAAAATAGAACAGCTGAAATGTCCACTGAAAAGTTCAGCCCATCGCTCAAGAGGACGGTTTTGTGAGTTGCCGTCTCGTCTTTACGCGTATTGTATCGCTAACAATTGTCTTCTTTTGACCGGTTGATCGAATCAACTGAAATAGGGCACGGATGTTGTCTGCAGTGAAAGCCTTCTCTATCTCTTGAGCCTTCGAAATCCACCAGCGTTCTCCGTCACTCCTCAAGCTCTTGAGGGATCTGCGTGCGCCCTTCCAGTCACTAGTTGCTGGTATGACCTTTTCGGTCACAATAAGATATGCTGATCCCAAAGATATCCCGTGTTCATTTGGTCCAGTCAGATGGCTTGGACAGATAGTTCTTGAAGCTGAGCGTATGGCTTATTTAACCCACTTCTATTCAGCCTCCAAGCAGTCTTCGTCATCTGCATCTCTGTGCGCTGCCTACAAGACTCTCTCCAGGTCAGCTCAATACTCTTGAGCTATTGAAACTTGTTTGAACTGACGAATGGAACTACTCTGCTTCCGCATACCTAATGCTGACAGAAACCAAGCTGATAGCTGGGCCCGCACAATAGTATGACCAGAGTCAAGTTGCGTACCCCAGAAGGAACAACAGGCTTTAGTGGACGCTCTCCATCGATAACTGGTAACCACATGATCCAACTGGGTCCATGAATGTCTTGCGGTTGGTGGCCTCCAAGTGAGCGTCTGTGTTAGAATTTTGTGATGTCCAGGAACAGACGATGACCTGCAAACAACTGAAGTGGCCGTTCCCCATTATCCGTAGGCAAAGCATCGACTCCAAACCTACTGTTTAATTGCGCTTCTTCCAGACTTATTGGGCATTCATAGCATCCGCTAGGATTGCTATATCCGTCCTTCTTACTGATCGAAACAGTTGCGACAAACCTTGATAAAACCCGTCCTTCTGTCTCAGGACTGCAGTCTGTCAGGGCGTACGCGCACGCGACAAATAAACGCCCTTTACCGCATCGACCTGCACTGGTCTTAATTGAGCTAGACAACCACACAGCGCAAAGACGAGTCCGTCACGAAGAGACTGAATCTTACCGTGGTGTAACGGTTTGCGCACCTCAGAGACCAAGTAGGCTACACTGGGAGGTGTCCCTGCGACACTCACAGTCTCCAATACCAGCTTGGCCAATAGTTAGAGGTCTGAAGAAAACAGTCTCCTGGTCCTCCGGTTTGGAGGGTGGAACATATGGAGATTTGTTCCGTAGAAATGGTAATGTATTCGCATTTCACATCAAACACTGCTGCCTCGCGGTCAGGCTTTTGAGCCAAAGGCTTTGGTTGAGGAGCCTATCGTTCTCCTGTGTAGCTGTGGGCCCCTGATAGTCTCCCAACCCACGTACAACCATGATAACTACGTCTAACAATAAACTACAACAGCGAAACATCGGTGTTGAACACTGATGTCATGCTCTCCATGATGATGATGGCGCAAAGACGACTGTTTACTGGGATTCAGTCCAGTGAGGTGCTTTCGGTCTTGAGGCTGAGTGTAACTCCCACATTGTAGACACCATGACCCATTACCTCAGGATCACCCGATACCCGAAGAATGAAATGTGGAACATTTGAGCTCGTCCTAAGCGGTTTGAGGTGCACGACAGATGTGGGGTTTTGTATACGTGTTCCGAAGACACAATATACTTCGACAGATATGGAAAGTAAATGATGCCTGGTGCTCAACTTGACATAAAATACGGACGTTAAAGACTGCAATGTAGATCATCCCTTTTGAGTTTAGTAGGTGATTAGTTTGGTTTGTTCTTCTGGGCGACGGTTTAGACACGGGGCAGTGGCCAGGGGAGTTGGTGGATGGGTTGATGGTACTGTATGGTTCGGCGGATGGGCAGAGGGTGCAGGGGGAGGTCGGTGAGCGAAGAGATGGAACGGCGAATGATACTTCCAGGTTGCCCAATCCGAAGAAGGCCGTTTGGTTGAGGTACCAAACCTCGGGTCTTTGACTGACAAGTCTGACCCACAAGGCAGTTTGAGGATATCGGGTTTTGTTCTGAGACCCTAACCCTGGCCTGACTTAAAATTCTGAACTGCGAGGCAGTGATTGTTGGGGGCTCAAAGACTCAATAGGCGAGAACACACTTGTCTGTAGAGGGCCGGCTTAACCTGAGGACGCAGAAAGGAATTACTGTCTCATACCAAGTGCTGCTGCATACAGCAGCACTGAACTGTTGGGTTTTTAAAGTATTTCGACCTTATTGAATGATGCACCGGCAGTCACGGTTAACCGCTGGGCGATCGAAGTGTGCGGTTTTTATTATCGATCTTTTCTACTCCGTCCTTTCTCGGGGGAAGACAGCATCACTGCTTCAATGTGGGCATGCTGATCGCCTGTGGGAAACGCCTTACTGTCCCCACACTCCTATCGCAGAGGACACAATGACTTTACCTATAGAGCTCCTCGTAATACAATTTCCCATATCATGGTATGCAGTTGGGCAACTTTCCCTAAATTACAAACGCCAGGGAACAAAAGGCCGCTTTACAAGTAAATATCCCTGAACTACCAAGTGGTCACATCTGGTCAACCAAACAAGTCGTGCTTTTCATTTTATAGCTTGGGTAACAGCAAACGCTACTTCCTATTTGTAAAATTTCTCAACTGCTAGGAAGCGAAGATAAACTAACGACACCACCATTCTAATGGGTAGTTGATGACAATAACATGAAACGGCCTTCAAAGCAAAAGGAGAGTGCGCTCCGGGTCATTATATATATTCCACCAAATCAAGTTATTATTGATAACATGTTGCAATCTGCTTTAGTGGGAAATAAGGTGACCGGAGTTAAAACGATGAATTTCTATGAGAGGAACTTGTTGAAAAGAAGACCACCTCTCACATAAAAAATCGTTTAGTTGTAGCACCCTTTCGGTGCCGCCATCCGAAAGAAGCACAAGGGCCGGGATACTGCCAGGTTGCCCAAGCCTAGACAGAGGAAGTCGAGAGGTAGAAGTCGGGTTCGAACCACGGACCTTCCGGTCAGTACATTCGCGCTCCAATCACTTAGGCCATCTCGCCCCACCTCTCACATAAAAGTAATTACCTGGTACTGTTGAGGCAGTAATTTTAACAGACAACAGAAACATAGTAAAACGTACTTTTGAATCTCCAAGGTTGGCGATGTACATCGTGTTGTTCACGATGAGAACGGTTGAAGCGGTGCTACCATCCCTCCAGTGTGGACGTCTTGGAGACAGAAAGTGTTACGTAGTGAAACACCCAAAGCGAACAACTCACTGATTACTCGCCTCCCGAAGAAAATCCTCATCCGTCTTCTTGAAGGAATCGTACAACACACGTTTAATATCTTTTTCAATTGGCGCTAACCCGCCTGAGGCAGATAGAGAGAACAAAAACATACAGATACGACTGTACCATAATAAATAACTATCGTTACCCGAGAATGATTAAGACTCGAACCCACGGTAAAAGTAAAACGAATAAACGAATATAAGCCGAACAGTCAGAGAACCCATAATCCTCAGGTTATGTGGAAACGTCTTAACTAGTACGATTGAAAGCACAAAGAACATAAAGAGGAAAATGAAGCTAAAAGGTTGCAGCTACACACAACGGTTACAACACAGATGAGGTATAATGTCACTTACTTCTGGGCAGACGCGAACATACGTACAAGTGAAGACGCTTCGAAGCGTAGACGGAAGCTTTACATCCACCATGGCCATCAAAAACGGCATAGTAACTCAATCTACACCTGCGTGAGAATCGGTGTTATTGATGACACATCAAAAACTGCAGAGTACACTTCATTCAGCGCGAAGTTTCGGAAATAAATAGACAAGTCGTCTATGCACACATGGGCATCTTGCATCTCCGGTCTTTCTCCCTTTCTTGCCACTACACAGGATATTAACGGAAGCAACGCTACAAGGTATGGTGAGCATGTCATATTAGCTATACCAGTTGCAGTGGTGCACGAAGTTTCATTTTTGTCCTTCTGTAACTGGTCTTCGGTATTCTCCACTGAATCTGTTAGGAAATGGAAAATGAACCTACCAACTGCTGTGTTGGACAGCTCTGGTTCGGGTAAATCGTCAAAAAGACTCATTGAGTGGAGTGCAGTGCGTGGGACGTACACCAGCTAGACAATGGCGATCAGGGTACAGTCATGCAAACAAATTTATTCCCCACAGACTGGCGAATTCATGAACGAACGTACGAGAACCGGCTGCAAAAAATGGAATAGATCCAGCATTCAAATTGTACAACAAACACTCTAGGAGGAATGGGAGTCTAACTGCAGGAAACTTCTCCAGACACCAAACACGCAATCTCAAACCTGGTTCTCTTTTGGGACAGAAGATTGGTGGTCCGAATTTCAGGAGATAACAAAGACGGACAGTTGCCAAATTAAAGATTGAATCTATTAAAGAGGCCTGGAATCACAGAAAAACTCCAAGAAGCCAACAACTACTCTCCAATACCTACAGTGTACGGCTATTAGTTTGTACACCCCCTCATGTAATCAGTCAGGGGTCTCAGAAGGTCTTTAAGCTGTTATCAGCGTTTCAGCAACCGGTCTACTACCTCACATTCTTAATCAATCATCGACATAATCATCATCAGTGAAAGTAACACCAGATGAGAATACCGGTGGTGTACAACCGTGTCAATTGATTTGAATAAAGCTTTATGATGGAAGAAAGAAATGAGGTAGGATGGGGGGCCTAGGGCTAATTTACCACAAACCCCGGTGTCCACTCCAACCTGATAATGAACAGCACCAACAGTTCCCAAGCGTTTTGCCACATACTTCACACACTTTTGCTATGTCAAATTCTCTACCTCAAGGTTTCCGCCAACCCGAATTGGGTACGGAAACACATGACAGCAGCCTTGAATTGAGCGACGTATCTCCTGTTCATTAAAATCCGTCTTCTGGTCACCCCACTGCGAATTAGCTGGTTCCAGTCGGTTCTGAAGGATCTGTGATTAAAGACATAAGGATGTGTCAGATCCTTCGCTCAAAGTGTCCAAGCATCATAACCACACGACAAAACAGCCTACCCTGTAGTCCGATATATGCGTCTTCTGAGATTCTGTGAGATGCCTTTTGGATACCGAAAGTGATGCAAAATTGGCAAAAGGAAGTCTAGGCTTTGAGATTTGTACGTTCACTTCATCCGCCACACTACTCATAGAGTGATTGCAATCTGTAAGATTTGTATTGCCTCTAACAAATTTCAGTTATTCCTTGAGTTCTCAAAGGCATGTTCAAAGGCCTCATGTCCCGCAGCATGGCTGCGCACCTCGTGGATGCAGAGCGCATACCGAAGGGCCTTTCTAGAAATACTTGTGCCTCGTGCTCTTTTTCAAAAATGAGAACGATGTCATCTGCATATTCATGGTCGACCAAGTTCTCGCCTGGACAGACACCGGGGTTTTAGGGACCTCCCAGGGCTCGCCTTATTACATCACCAATGACAAAACTAAACGAAAATGGAGAGTTGACACCCTTATGGGACACCACTGCTCCTAAGAAAGGTTTCCGAGAGCTCCCCATATGTGGTCACGTGGCCACAAGTATGCGAATGCAAATAGCGCATGATATTCACGAAGTTCTGGAGCAGACCCTGTTGCGCAGGCGTACTGAAAACGAATGCGTAACAGAATCGAGCTCACTTTTGAAGTGGAGGGCGCCTATACGCATGCTTTTATTCCACGGAGTGTAAAGACATATACAAAGCCTGTTCCCCGCTGAAATCCTGCTCACCGCTATCGGGTCCCGTCTTCGCACACCTTCGTAGTAGAATAAGCGATACAAATAGTCTGGTTATGGCGCAGTTAACTTCTCTGTGATTACCATTAGCTTATTTTCGGTGTCAGGGTTTCAATTTTACTGCCAAGGGTTGTATTATATCCGGAATGTGGCTGAACAACTGCAGATAGGCAGCCGACTTGTTGTTGGAAGCGTTCAGCCCAGCAATCCTGGCGTTCCTTTTTCACATATAAGCGAGCCGTCTTTGACAGTGGTTGTTTCATTCTCCAGAGACCTCTTTGACGCTAGAGTATTTTACACATACCTCCACACTATATCGCTTCGTGAATACCCTCAGCTTCCTGGGTCCATCAAGCACCTCGATCCGTGAGTGCTTTTTCTCATGCGACGTTTGACGGTTAGCCAGGCTGTGTAACACTCAGAACCGGCAGGAATACATTCCAGTAACAGCTAACATCAGCGGGTGTGTTGTCTAGGAGCCTCAGTAGATGGTTTGGTAGACCTGCTTCACATCCGGGTCTGAGAGCTTCTCAATAGCCAGGCGGTGCGCGCAACTTGCACTCCCCTGAAAAATGCAAGAAGCAGCAACCAGCAAGCGCGTGATCCAAGTCCTGATAGAGATCACAGAATAAGCAGTAACCACACCATATATAACTATCGGCGATGCGATCAATGGGAGATAAAGGTCGCATGCGGGAGCACCATGTGGTCAAGCAGCTTCGGAAATTATTGCTACATAGAGACAATCTGTGGTCAGCACACAACTGCAACAGGCGTTCCCATTGTCCACGATTCAAATCCAAGACGACATCCCAAATGAACCTCAGCATTCATAGCCCCGGCAACCACATGAGCCCTCTACCCACCACAATAAAACGCCAAAGGCGCCGTAAAAACCGTCCTTGATGACATCAGAGCTAGTCTGTTAGTTTAAGAAGATACGATGAACACACGGCGAGTATCGACGCGTTCAAAGAAGTTGGTAGTGGCAGTGGGTGGAGTTTGAGGCACGAGAGTAGCATGTGACTTTTTTTGGTCCGCCTTCGTCTAATGGAAGGTCGAATTTATTACGGGATTCGTGGAACTGCTTTGTAGCATTTGTTTACGGTTATAGTCAAGTCAATGAATATCTAAGAAAGTTCAAGAAGACGGATATTTGTTTTTTAGTAAACAAGGTACATATGAGAGTTTTGCTTTCCTGTCCAATAGTCTGTAAATGTTTAGTTGGTGTTTTCTGATAAACAACTCCGCGACGAAGGGTTTTCCTCCTTCCATTTGAGTGGAGTTGGTAGCGTTGCAGGTAGGAATCCCATCACTGTGAAAGGATGTAGCGGTCCCGCTCTAAGTGGCATGCGGCGACTGAGCAATTGCGAGAGTCCAGAAGAGGATTCTAGGGAATTCGGGATCATTGAGCCTCTCAACCGCAAGGCTAGCTGCCTTCCCCTTACGCGATCCTGATAGGCGAAGACAGGAACGAATCGGGACGGGTGCATAATCTGAATGCAGACAATTGTACTAAAAGGAGCGACAGTCAGTTAGTGATCCACGTCATCAATGATTGATGGCGATGTGATCAATTTGGGTCCATTGCTGGCGACCATCATGTATCCGATAAAAAAACTATTCTTCCAACCGGAGACTTAGGACGACGCCGGCCTCTGTGCATCTTGCCACAGAGCCGTATGCACCTCCAGAAGTGCGAAAGCGAAACCGAGTGGACTGATGGAGCACTTGTATCTTGGATTCTTGTTTCCGACATGCAGCGCAACGTTGAGCGAGTCCAGTGGACGAGCAAGAGCAGCTTGTTGTCCTGCTTCATAGAACGGCTGTATCTTGGATTCTTGTTTCCGACATGCAGCGCAACGTTGAGCGAGTCCAGTGGACGAGCAAGAGCAGCTTGTTGTCCTGCTTGATTCATAGAACGGCCATTGAAACCCACTATGTAATCTGGGAATTTGGGTACGAAGATCAATTCCTGGACGCATGAGGCTGTCGGTCCCTGCTGACCTGCAGCCGGCCAAAACCGATGCAAAACGAATGGGGCTGTCAGTCCCAGCAGATGGGTCCATAGAGAAATCATTACTGAGGTGGATGAAGTTGCGATGAAACGACAGACAGATGAAAACTGGTGTGAGGTTTCACAGACTAGAGCTCCGGGAATAAAACACGGTGCCAACGTGTTTCTCCATATGGGGAGACGGATTGGAAGGGGGTTTGCCCCAATACTTTCTAGATTATTCTTTCTATATGCCACAAAGTTGGCAAAGAGGTGCGTTTCAGAACACATGCCTAACCACATTGAAGAAAATGCACCTGTGTTGGACAACGGACCTACCAACTATCTCGTCAACGGACCCAGAGTTACCTCGGCCGCTGATTGGTCGATTCCAATTCCGTGACACTCGTTCCGGCCATGCAGGTTGGTTGCTCGTGGTTCGGACGGGGCCCAGATGATTTCAAGACCGTGTCAGGATCCTATATTAGCCGTTGTTAAGTCACAGTAATTCATCCTCTGCTGGTCTCTCGTGCTTTCCGGATCTCCGTGGATTGCTGCTGAGCGCCTCTGTCTATTTATCGGGTTAGTTACCCATGTTCATCTTGGTGAAACCATCATGGTTTCTAACACAACTACCGCAGGTTTTTCATCACTGGAGCCCATTATTCTGAATCCAAACAAATTGCCATCATTAATGTCTTACGATTTCAAAGGATACATCGGTGGATGGAAGCAGTGAAACAAGCCAGGTGCCGGAGTATTTCCACGCATATGTGCATCGTTCCATCAAGGAATTTCAGTCTCAGTTGCCAGAATTATAGATTGGAATAGACATGTGTTACACCCGTCTATCCACTTTATCAGCTCCCAGAAGAGGTCCAAGGAAGCACTTTCTCAGCCTGTCGGTTCGACTTTATGTTATGCATGTGTATGTAAGAACGATAGCTCTGGAGGGTTAACGAAGGTTTTCGATGGCGTGCTGGCTTCACTCCGTAGACTGACCGAATACACCTGTATCCAGATACACGAGTTTTAGCGGTAAGTCTTATATATTTTCGAATTGCTTCGTTAGAGTGCGTTTTAATATGCAGCGTTAGCCCGACCTGCTGCAATTGGGCTGGCGAAAAACCACTGACTACGTGGGAAGCAG